GGAAGTTATGCAAAGCAGCCTCGTTTTATTTTTTTTCTCCTTTTTTGCTAAAGACACGTGTCCTTGCTAATGTAACCAGCAAAAGCAGTGAAAAGGAAAAAGGGGAAGTAAGAATTTCGCTCTCTCCCTTTCTGGATGAATGAGCTGCTGAAATCTGTGACAGCTATTTTTGTGAAATGACTGTAGGCTGGCAAGTTTTATCTTAATTCTAAAGATGAGTTTACAGGTATATGGTTAAGACAAAAACAAAAAAAAATTAGGAGTTACTTGCCAAATAAGAAATGTCTTTAAATTCTGAAACAATATTGAAGGTCCTATTTGTTGTTTTGATATAAAATGTCTCCCTGGTTTGTTGTTTATTCCTGGTTTTTATTTTAAAAATGGGGTGTGATGGCCAAACTTTTAAAAGTCTATAGTCTAAGCAAGTTCCAATAATTTAAACATTGTTCAAAATTTTATTACAATGTAAAATTAAAAGACGTTTTAAAATAATGACTTAGTTCTTTTGAATGTGGAACTACTTTGTTTAACAAGTTTCTAATCTGTTTTATTTAAAGCTTCAGTTTTAAATAAAACAGCTGGAGCTCTTTTAAGCTCCAGAACTAACACTGAAATTGCAATAAATTCCTAAATGTGGGAGAAACCAGGCATTTACATACTCTGTAGAATAAGATAACCTGAATAATAAATAAGCCAAAATGTTTTTTGTTTTAGCTTATTATTTATGCTGTCATCAAGCTAATTAATTTTTTTGCTTAATATAAAGTTGGTTTTTTTCCCAGATATTTTTATTTTCTTCAAAGTTAGAGATTTGTATGCACTAAGATAACTCTGCCTTTAAATAACCTTGGAAAGCCCAGATGGTGATGTGATGGCTCTATAAGATTTTGATTAATTGGTTAGTTCAAAACAATTGAATTAAATGGAGGCATTCCTGTAGATGGATTTTATGATAAATCTTCCTGCTCTGATGAAAGAGAAGTCCAAAAATAATCGCACTAAATATCAGGAAGAGAATTGTTGACCTCCCCAAGTCTGTCATCTTTGAGTACAGTTTTTCAAGATCCCTGAAGGTGCCAAGTTCACAGCCATGTATGTGCAAATCATTATGTTCCAGTATATACCATATGTGTAGATCCAATGATTGCCCTTCTGCAGGAACGAAGTTCTGTGCACCAAAAATGGCTGTTTTGGTGTGCATCTACCCCAGAACAAAAGCAAAACACTCAGATTGTTGAAGAAGTTGTCATTATCCAAAGTTAAACTAGTCCCATATGGACTTGAGCTGAAGGGCCACTCGAGGAGGAAGAAGTTATTTCTCATGAGCAGCATAAAACGCCTAATTACAGTTTGCAAAGAGCTTCAATTTTGGAAACATGTTCTGTGATCTGATGAAACTAAAATCCGAGTGTCTGGTCATAATGAGGATTGGTACATTTGGAAGTAAGAGGACATACGGAAAATTGAGAACTGCAAACGCGGGAGTGGCGTCCGCCTGCAAAGTATAAGGGGTGATTGCATCTGGAAAATAGATCGGAAGACATCAGCAGGGAAGTTGTATGTGGCTTTAATCTGCTTTATTGAAGTCTTTGTCTGCCTTACAGGTGTGGGTAATGATAATGAGGGAGTGCTAGTGCTGGGAGCCACGAACATCCCCTGGACTCTAGACTCTGCCATTAGAAGACGGTAAATGTTGCCAGATGTTTCAAAGTTATGTAATATCCAGTTGTCATCATCCTATTCTCAGCGCAAATAAATAAATACTTTCAGATTTGAGAAGAGGATCTACATACCGCTGCCTGAGGAGCACGCCCGCTCCTTCATGTTCAAACTCAATCTGGGCTCGACCCCCAACAGTCTCACTGAATCAGACTTTGCAGCTCTGGGGAAGAAGACAGACGGTTACTCAGGAGCAGACATCAGCATCATCGTCAGAGACGCTCTAATGCAGCCTGTTCGAAAGGTCCAGTCAGCAACCCACTTCAAACGGGTATGTCTTCATAAGGCTCCTGTAAGGTTTAATCCAACTACATAACACATTAAAAATAAGTTCACAATCTTTCTGTTGTTAATATAAGGCACGAGGTCAATCCAGAACTGATCCAAACGTTATCATTGATGACCTTTTGACTCCATGCTCTCCTGGTGATCCCAACGCAATTGAAATGACCTGGATGGAGGTCCCTGGAGAGAAGCTAATGGAACCAGTGGTGTCCATGGTAAGAAAACTACTACAAATATGTTAATTGGAGATGCACTAATCAATCATCTAGATTGGAATTTGTCAGTTTGTTTGGATTTGCTCTGAGCAGCAGTCAGCATGTCCAGCGTTGTTGTTTTCCCATTTGGAAAATGCATCAATGCAGAGAAGTCCACCAATATTAGAAGAAGAGATAACAATCATCAGTATGGATCTGGTTGCACTTTTTTGAGTTCAACTTAAAGCACATTAAGGTTAAAGATGATTGCTTTGCATAAATGAGATAATATTGTCATTCTTCAATTTCTGATACCAAAACTATCATTAAGCATCTTCTATTTTATGTTTTGTATCAGTAGAATGCTGAATTGGTAAGTCAGATGACAAAGAAACTGGAAATTGGTATTGGCTGGAGGCGGTCTGGTTGTTGTGTCAAGTATAGATGTGCAACTCTCCCTTAAAAAGACAATCTGATATCTCCATAGACTTGGAAATACAATTCAAGGATTGTGTTTAATTTTTTTATACAGAGGGTTGTTTATTGTTGTATCTCAGTGTGGTTTAAATAGTTTAAAATGTAACTATTTCTATAAATGTGCATTTACTTTACCAGCTGCTGTATGTATATAGTCCTATAATATAAAAAACAAGACCAGGGCAATTTAGGTACTTTACTGCTCGCATACAGAGGGAGGTGCTTTTGCGTTTGCTGAAAAAAAAAAATACTGACGAGTTCATATTGCAAAGTTGATCATTCAAAACAATCTAACAGGGTATGTGTTCGCATGATCAAAAATGAAGTCCTACTTATAAATCTCTACACTCCTAATAAAAGGATTTATTTTGAACCATTTTTTTCTTCCTCCTCCTCTTAGCCTGACATGCTGAGGTCTCTGTCCAACACAAAGCCAACAGTCAACGAACAGGACTTGGAGAAACTGAAAAAATTTACAGAAGACTTCGGACAGGAAGGCTAGATCGGATCCAAAGACCCAAACCAAAGCAATGAAAGTGTGACTGTGTCTTTACTGTCTTTGACCCTTATTTCTCTCTCTCTGCCTCATCCTTATTCTCTAAGCCCCATGGGTTACCTAAGTACACACTTAAAAAGGGTGGAAGATTTTTTTTTTTTTTTTTAATTATTTCATTTCCAGTCCAAAGAAACTCAAAAGCTTGCTACATATAGTTGTCTTGCTTAAACGTAAAAGAGCCTCCATTGGAAACTTCGGAATTTAATTTGTTGAAAGTACTAGAGCCCTAAAGTATTTATAATCAGAATATTAAAACATGTTTGAGAAACCTGTAAGACATGCACCTTTATTGCAAGTTGGGTACTTCAAACTAGAACTTGCATTTGTGTTTTGGTTTTACAGACTACTTCCAACTCCATTATTGTTTTTCATAAACCCTCTTTTAATAAGGTAATTCGTACGTTTTGTACCCTATCCTGTAGATCGATGCGTAAGCCTTGCACAGTCTAAATCAAAGACGTTATCTTCATATGTTAGGTTTTGGAAGTGAAACGTCCTCGTCTGAGAGTGGTTGTGATTATAAAATTTTAAGACGGACTTGGATGCAAAAGCCTGGATAAATTTTTTGATGCAGTTTTGAAGGAAATTAGTTGCAGGTAAATATGTTTAGTCATTCATTATTTAAAATTAACACAGGCCTTAGAAAGTATCATCACTGTGGGTAAACCAGCATTATTTCACCATTCCTGAAGGACCTAAAGCTTTGAATTATTTCACAACTCAGTAAGGCTTTCTTTCTATAAACAACTGTACATATTCATTTATACTAAAAGGCTTTGCTGATGATCTTTGAAAGCTTAAAAGAATCTAGGCCTTATATTGGAATAAAATATATTTGGTTTAAGCAAGATTGAGAGGTGAAAGGTGGACATTGATGGCTCAGATAAGAGGACCTTGTGTACGTAACAGAAATGACTTGCATTTTTGGGCTTACACTTCAAATAGCCGTAAATGGCAGTTTGCACCATGTGCCTTTCAGAAAAAAATGCCTGTTTTTTTTTTTTTATTGGTTTATTACTAAATTAAGTCATACTTCTAATATATATCAAGTGCTTTGTCACTACAACTAAGAAATGTACAATGTATGTGCATTTCAACGATGCTCTTTTAGAGATTGTATACAAATGTACTCTGTTGCTGTTGAGATGTGGAAACTGTCTCCTGTAATTTTTTTAAGGGGATGTCTTATTTTACAGTGTATGTCTACACATTTATGTAACAAACTCTTGGGCCTTTTCTTGCGAGAAGAGGTAACTGATGCATCCAATGTTTTCTTCCTCATTTCTTTAGTGTAAATAAAAGTTACAGCTATACCAAATGGTATTTTTATTTAATGCACTGCAAAAGGAATTTGTGAAATTTGTAGATTTAAAAGCTAAATTTTGCACTCCTTCACTAAAAGTAGCACTGCTGTGATATTGCAGATAAATCGGCACCAATATCTTTACTTTGAGGAGATCAGCAATCTGCTGATACATGAGAAACCTTAGAAAGTTCTGAAAATCAGCCACTGTCCCCTTTTTGCTCTTCTGTGAGAGGCTTGACTGACGGACCTTCCCATCAGGTTATTTCTGCACTCAACTCAGTTACTCCACTAATGTCAACGAGTTTATTAAATTTTCTGACAAAAAAAAAATTGTATCCGTATGTCAGCTTCTTTAAATATCGGTGATAGGCCAGAAAACTGCATACAGTGCACCACTACATCATTTTACACTAATGTGAAATAAATTTTATTTTCATACTAGTCTGTCGGAACCTTACGGTCACTCTCCCTGGTTTCAGGCTGAAGTTCAAAGTTCCTTAATGATGCGTTGCATTGTGGGAATTGCTGTCTCTGAACTCAGGAGCCAGTGTTGAAACATTCACTTTAGGACTACAAGTACCAAGTATGACCGTTTACTGTACACAGTTCGGTTTGTTTTAGTTTCTACGGACAGCGCTTTGTCGTAAGGGATTAAAGTCCAGAACGGCTCGTTAACCTGGCAGTTATAAGTCTTTGACCAGCTGCCAAAACCTGGAGCGACCCCTCCCCAGAGGTCTGCGCTTCACCAGCTCCCCCTCCCAGAGCCGCCTCTTGCCTCATAGCTGTTATAACGGAGCGGAGAAACTGGCCTGCTAGCTAGCAAGCAAGCTAAGGTTTCCCCCATGTCCTCTGAGGAAGCGTTCAGTTCACCGATTGTAGATTGGCTCTTCGTCCATTCCTGGTGGCTCTTTTTACCTTTCATTATGCTTCTTGTCGTAGCTGCCTTCATTGTTGCTTTTGTGTTATTGCTGTACATGATATCGCCTCTCATAAGCCCCAAACCTCTGAAGCTGAACGGGGCCCACGTCGTGGTGAGTACCTCTACTTCGTTAACGGTAGTTAACGTCCACTCTTTCATTGAGGGTGCAGCCGCCTTCAGTTTAACACGGTACATAAAAGTTATTTTCTGAGTAGACATTGACATGTTCACTGCTACGGTCGAAGGAGTGCTTTAACGTTTCGACTCGTATATTTTTTTTGAGGGGGGAATTATGGAGCGACACGCCCACGACAAACGGGGTTATTACGTAGAACGGAAAACTATCCTTGGTTTTAAATATTTCCCACGTCTGTATAAATATACATGTATATATAAAACAAAAGAAAACTGAGCACGAAATTCTTTGATTTTTTTCAGGCGAAATCTTGGCTTTTTTTATATTTTTTATATTTTTTTTACAAGGCTTGATTTATATATTACATATTTTATATTTGTTGCTCCAATATCAATTCATGGTTATAGAGTTACTGACAAGTTAAAAGGGGGAGAAAAAAAGGAGAAATTGCGTGAATAAGCCTAATTCCTACATTAAAGCATACATTCTTAAAAAAAAAGATGTACAGATCATTCTGATGTCATAGTTTTCTTTAGTTTTGTCTTTATTGTAACCAATGGAAACATTTTCTAGCCTTTTTTCTGCCAGCTGACCCGCTGTACACAGTAACAGGTGGTACTGCATAACTATATTCTTTATAACTCTAAAAACCCAGTCATTCTGACACTTCCATGAGCACTTAGTGGATTAATTTGGTAGTTTTTTTTTGTTTTTTTTAGTAAAGTTTTAGCACTGGCTTACTTTAATGCCACTAACCATCCTATACCTACTACTAACAGAGAGGTCTTGCTAATAACTTGGCGAGATTCAAAAGGGAAATGTCACTGGCTTTTATTCCTCTAGATCTGCTCTCAGAGTAGGTGTGGTTTCGATCCCTAACAAGCTCTGAAAGTGATGTTTTTCCTAATCAACATATTCCAAACAGTATGAAAGAATCAAACAGTGAAGCATGTGTTGTCACATGATTTGCGGAAATATCAGAGGAATAAATTGTCCGTTGGTAAATGTCCCGTTGCCAATGTCTAGAATATATGTTAAGCGGTAACTCTGTCCATTTGGAATAACCTTTATGGTTATTGCCCAGTAAATAACCTACAGTTCATTTAAATGAAAGTCTATAAAGACTCCCCTTTCATCACTTTGAGGTTTGCTGTGAATACTCTGCTACTACATCCTCTCAGCTTCCCTGACCTTTGCATGTTGCTGCTGTATTGATCAGGTGACAGGAGGCTCCAGTGGGATTGGGAAAAGCATCGCAGTTGAGTGCTACAGACAAGGAGCATTCATCACCCTGGTCGCTCGAGACGAGGTCAGTGCAAACATTTAACCAGTCCTTCCAGTCCTCCACAAGCTGTTATTACAGTCAACTCTCTTAGTTTTTTTTTTTTTGTTGTTGTTGTTTTACGTCAAACCCTGCGCAAGTGAAGGTGAATTTATTCCATGTCAGGTGAACGATCACGTGCAAAAAATTTGCTTTAGTTTCTGTTTGACGCTTGGTGATCATGTGATATAATTATTGCTCTTGAAATATGTTGTTTAATTCACTTGGTCCAGTGTACGCTCATACATATGAATGGTATTGCAGTTGCTTTACACTAACTTATTTCAAGAGCAACATGTTTTTAGAATAGATTAATTACATACAGCATTTCTTCCAGGAGAAATTACTAAGAGCAAAGAAAGAGGTGGAAAAATATGCCATCAACGACAAGCAGGTATTTTTATCTTTTAAAAATCCACCCTACGGTCTGGTCGTTTTCATCATGTTCATTTAGAACCTCACATCTGATTGACTTTTTAAATCTCGTTCTCTGTTCAGGTGGTGCTCTGCGTATCAGTGGATGTTTCCAGTGACTACACGCAGGTGGAAAATGTGATAAAACAGGTAATGTTACCCTCTTCGCTTTGATAGGACATATCAGATTCTCTAAATAATTTAGAGTAGTGTTATAAAAGTGGGATTTTGTTGCTATGCAGGCTCAGGAGAAGCTCGGGCCTGTCGACATGCTTATAAACTGCGCTGGAACGTCCATTTCTGCAAAGTTTGAGGAAATGGAGGTGGAGCGCTTCAAGGTGAGTGCCAGCGACTTCTAATCTTAAGAGGTTAATAGGATCTTTTAAAACTTGCTAATTGTAAGTAATATTGCATATTTTATATATTGAAAGCAAAGTGAAATGTGAGGTTGAGCATTTCTGAGCAGAAAATGACCTTTTTTTTTTTTTTAAGTGCCTGACTTGGAGTAGTCGTTTTCTATTTTGATCTTTTATTCCTGCTTAGGAGGATACTTAGTGTTGCTAAACCATTCAATAACACAGATCTATAAATAGTTCAAGCAAAAAAAAAAAAAAAGCGACCCATAAAAGAAGCATTTGAATAAACCCTAATATCGTCTTATTTTATAAAGAAGTAAATCACTACAGCTGTTAATTGAACACGTACAAGCATATTTAAATTGTGAAATGCACTTCAGTATGGGCCGTCCTCCTGCATTAGATGTGAACTTTGGCCTTACGTTGTGTAGGAAATGATCGAACTGAACTACCTGGGCAGCGTTTATCCGACTCGAGCTGTGATAACCACCATGAAGGAGCGAAGAATGGGCCGCATCATGTTCGTGTCGTCCCAGGCGGGTCAGATCGGCCTGTTTGGGTACACTGCCTACTCTGCATCCAAGTTTGCGCTGCGTGGCTTGGCAGAGGCACTGCAGATGGAGGTTTGTGTGCTTGTTTTCACCCCCACCGATTTTTCTCTTCACACCCATCAGACACACAGCAGCTGAAATTATCTGAAAAATACAGGTAGTTGAAATATGCAAATAGTTTAGCATATTTTTAGAACTGTTTTAGGGGATGATTCTTATGTTAATGGAAGAGGGGTTTAAAAATGACTCCCAGCATAAAAAATAAAAAAATCATAGAAAATGCAGGGTGGGGGAGGTTGTTTATTATGAAAGGCTATTACTGTCATTTATATTCTGGTCATGCTGCTATTGATTTTCAGGTAAAGCCCTACAATATCTATGTGACTTTGGCATTCCCACCCGACACGGACACTCCACTACTGGCTGAAGAGAACAAATCAAAGGTGCTTAAATCTTAATCTGGACTAAAGATCTGGTTACAGACACATAGCTCCACTGAATAGTTTGTGGTATTTATTTATGGATTAGCATTTTTTTTTATTTAGCAACTAAAGCGACAGTAATTTCTAATTTCTCACAGCTTTTGCTTTTCATTCTTTCCCTTCCAAGCCGTTAGAGACCAAATTGATCTCTGAAACCTCTGGAATTTGGCAGCCTGACCAAGTGGCCAAAATCTTTGTCAGGGATGCGGTGGTAAGAAAATCCTTTCAGCTACTGTTGACTCAACTTTAAAATGTATATTGTGCTGAAGTTTAAGCTTTCCTGTTTTGTTTTGTTTGTTTTTTTTTTGTCTTTGCAGCAAGGAAATTTTAACAGCTCAGTTGGCCCAGATGGTTACATGCTATCAGCTCTCACCTGTGGAATGTCACCTGTCACCTCCATCACAGAAGGCCTCCAGCAGGTACAAACGTACACACACAGGTGCTGCTCAGTAACTTGAAATTTTTTCTCAGATGTAGATTTATTTGAGTAATTCAATTCAAAAAGTTATTCTTTTTCATATATAGTATAGATGAATTACAAACTGATGTATATGTTGCATTTACTTCTGTTAGTTTTGGATTATGGCTTATATCTAATAAAAAAACCCACAGTAAAGTTTTTAAGGAAATTAGACTAAAAAGTGGTTTAAAATAATTTTTTTATACATAAATGTTGGCCTACACCGGCATGTCTTACTGAGGAAAAGAGTTTTGAACCAATGAGTGATAGCCCAATGCTCTTCTTTTCCTTTTTAGATTAGTGCCTACAAGAAACATGACAATTGTAGCACGACTTATGACTCTGCCCCAAACCTTCACAGTCTTCTGAAGGTTGCAGTCATCCCTCTTGCTTTTGCTTCTTTTTTTCTACCACACTTTTTCCTTCCACTCGCTTTTCCAGTAATATCTTTGGATACAGCACCACATGAACTGCCATCTTCTTTAGCAGTCCCTTCTTCAGGATTACCCTCCTTATGAGTTAATATTTTTGATTGCCTGGGTCTCATTAGCTTTAAGCCATAGTTGACAGAAATATATAAAACATATCACACACACTTGTGTGTCGAATGCAAATTATGTATCAGTCTCAATTCCCGAATTCAGCTACTGAAATAAATTGTTGAGTGATGTTCTAATTTATCGAGATGCGATTAAAACATGACCTCAAGCATGCCAGTGTGCCATATGTGTGGTTCTAACTTTGAATGTTCACACAGATTGTCACAATGGGGTTGTTTCGGAGTATCGCCCTCTTCTACCTGGGGAGTTTTGACAGCATCGTACGCCGCTGCATGATTCAGAGGGAGCAATCGAAAGAAGCCGACAAGAGGGAGTAACCGCAGCCTTAACGTCCTCACAGCCCAGTACTGCTCCTCTTCCTCTGCAGCTTTGTCCTCCGTCTTTACAAATGTACACAGTTGGGGTGGGAATGCACATGCAAGCCAAACGTTTAATATCATCTCTGAAGAACAGAAAAATATAGTGTATTATGTTTACTTTCTGATGATATCACTTCTTCTTAAACTTTAAGTTTTACATTCTCTGCCCTCTTTGAACAGGGAATACCTTTGTTTAAATGTGAATTCCTCGTTTTAGGAATGGAAAGGAGAAGGGGCAGACTAAACATTGCAGTTTTTATAATACGTGATTCCTTTGAAGCACTGAGTCACACTAGTGCTTTTTTTTTTTTCTTCCCTCCTTGCATAGAGAAGCAGAAGACAGCTTGACTAGTTGTACCAAATATGGCTTAAAATTCCTTCCTACTGCGAGCTATAATGTAAAACAGAAAGTAAGCTTACACTTTCAGTCATCTTGTTACATTATACCACAGAAGTATCTCCACTTTATACTGAGAATTTTACAGTTTTCACTAAATAGGTTTTGTACCTCAAGTCTTTGCAGGCAAAGCACCTTCCCTTTTTGACTGAATGGCCTCTGACTGGAACTCTGTGGGGGGTTTTTGCCGTATGATGTTTTGTCTTTGTGCTTTGTGTGTGTACTAAGCTGTGAAGTGATCTAACTGTATTCTTAATATCTGAGTGAGAGGTTTTTTTTTTTTTTTTTTCAATATTTCTGATTTTGGAAATGTAAAATGCATCCTTTTCAAATTATATTGATGTCTCTACATTTTAAATGCAGTGAGGGTAACAAAACAAAACAATAATTGTGGGTGAACTGTGTGCATGAATGTGTGTGTTTTTACTGTGACTGAGCCAATCCAGCGAAGGACGGAAAAGCCATTTGATTTAATCTTCTCGATTATAAAGACACAAAATCTTTTCTTCGTCATTCCAGCTTAGAAAATTTTTTTTTTTCCTTGCGAGTTGAAGCCATGAAGTCGTAGGTAGGGCGAAGGGAGAAAAGCCAGCACATGATTTCACTTTTCACCTGCACAAGCTCGTACACTGCACCCCGACTCTGATTTTATTATTATTTGTGTGTGCGTCAATGCATCCGAGTTTGGATCCTGCCGGGATCGCTGTCTTTTGGGTTGTCATTGAGTCAGGTCAAGACGCGACTCGCTGGTTCGAGTCCTGTCTCTTTAGGTCCACTGACAAAGAGATTTGTTTTTACACAAAGTCCAAAATATCACTCAGACAGGCAGCGTCCCTGTGAGTTTGGACCAATAGTTCCACAGCTGGTTCTAAATTCCCATCTGGTCTCTGTCGAGCCTTGAATAAACTTCTGTCTTTCCTACTCTTTCAAGCTACAGAGACTTAAGAAGTGCATCATAGACTCTCACAGTCTTCCTTTAGCCCATTCTACAACGAATGTACCTTCATGCCAACATTCAAATCAGGCTTTTGGATTATTATAATTTTTAGATCCAACATTTGAATGCCAAAAGATGTTAAATCTGTGTTGCTGCTCTGTTGATCGTCGGTTGTAGAAACCATGGAGTAGGGCTACTTGAGTCATTCTGAGCCTTAAGAGGTGACAACTGATAAGTCTGACGCTATGAGTAGGACAGATCTAACAGTGTGACTTAATCCACATATTATTTTTATGTTGTTGCCTGTAAAATTCAATTTTGTTTTACTCCGTATTTTATCAGTTTCTATTCTTTTCATGATGAAAAAAAAGCCTTATTCAATCCAAGATATGAACGTGGGAATGAATGACTCTTGTTTGATGATGTTCTCATTTGATATTGGTTTAAAGGCATTCTGCCCTACACCCGGAGATCATTTCATTGTCCTGCATGTATTTGCTTTATAAAGTTCTACTTTCTCACCCCCAACCCCCCGCCGAGGTAGCAACACATAGTGAAACATGTAGCTTATGTAGAAGCATTTTTGTTGTTTGAACACCTTTAAGCTATGCAAATAAAGCCTATGCTTACAGTATGTTTGAACATCAGTGAAAACTGAAGCTTTAGTCTCCCCAGCTCCTCAATAGTGTTATCAGTATGTTCCTAATCAGTTTAAGACTATTGAACATGAAAGTCATTCTGCACACTCTTGTGTTTTGCTCTTTTTTTGTTGTTTCTGCCAAAATGATTTAACACCTTCACCTTGTGTGCCATTGAAAGAAGTTTTCAAAAGTGGAACGTTCTTATGTCTTATTTTCTTACATGATAAAATAAATAATTGTATTGGGGAAAAAAATAACTAATTGCCTAAGTGTTTTAGTTTTATTTCTTGTTCTGAGTATTGCAGTAAGACTTTAGTAGTAGTGCTGGAGTAGATCTATGTGGGATTAAGAGATTGTACATGGTACAGTGCCTTGCAAAAGTTGAAATACCTCTTGGCATATTAGTGAAGTGGAAGTAACATTAAAGATTTTTTTTAAAAAAAATCAAAATAATATAGTAGCATGTTTTGCCTATTCCTCTTTGTAAGCTATTTATAACCCAAATAAATTGGATGAGGAACATTTCTAAACAGAAGTGTTAAGGTCTTGCCACAAAATCGTAATTGAAATTGGGTCTGGACTTTGACTGGTCCATTCTAACACATGAAAATGTTTTGATCTGAACTATCTCTGGCTGTAGTATTAGGTGCACTGTCCTGCTGGGAGGTAAACTTCTGCTCTGGTCTCATCTTTTCTAATGCCTTATAGGTTGACTGTCCTGCATTTATGTGCGTAGCAGCAACCATTTCTCATTCTCTCTCACCAGCCTCAATGTCCATTCTGAAGAAAAGCACTGCCACAACACGACGCCTCAACCACCATATCTCACCATGTTCAGGGTAATGTGCAGTGTTAGCTTTCTGCCACACAGAGGTTTCCATGTAGGCCATGAAGTAGATTTTCAGTCTCATCTATCTAGAAATTGTAAATATTATTTTTTTTATGACTTTCCCAGCAGTGGCAGTAGTCTCTTGTCTTAAATGAAGGCCTTTTTTTTTTTTTTTAGAGTGAACGTCTTGTCTCTATCAAAATATTCTCCCACCTGGGCTGTACATCTCTGCAGCTCCTCTAAAGTTTGCACCATATTTGTACCATTTTCAGATGGATTGGTAAACGGTTCCCAAGAGTAGCAATTAATTGTAACAGAATAGCAGTTACACTTTTAAACAGCTATTTGATATTTCTGGTGTGTTTCCTGGTCATCACCAATGATGTCCAAAAACAACAACAGAACTCAGGTCTTCACCTAACTGCTTTTTTAAAAAATATTCACATAGATCAACTTTATTTAGAATAGTTGACTTCTGAAGTTGATTGGTTGCTCTAATTTAGGTTTTTCATAATAAAATGAGTTGTATACAAATTAACGCTTCAATTTCCAGATTTTGTTTTAATTTTTTTTTATGATTATTATCCTTTTACTCCACTTTTATACTCAGTTTGCACTACTTAAGTGGTGGTTAAGTACATAAAACTGCAATAAGAGGCATTTTAAGCTCGTAACGTGCCTAGAAGTGCAACAGTTCAGCAGTCTTGTAAGCGTATATGTTTAGTAAATGTTTAGTAAATTCTTTCAACCACAAGGGGGAGAAGAGACTTGATGAAAAGAAAGCTGAACGGTTTTCTCGTGCACCATTTTAAAAATGAAAGGAACGTGTTCTTACGGAAAGTTGGCTTTTAATAGCGTATACATTTATAGTGCAATACTTGTACAAATACTGGCTATCAAAAAAAAAAAAAAAGGGTTTTCCCCCGCTCAACGTCGGAGACTCTGAGCTGACGTCAGTGAGAGAGAGAGCGGCCCACTGGTGGTGGGCTGGAGCTGCTGCTGATATGTGGAGTGATCGCTGAAGAGGACCCAGTCCGACCTTGTCTGACTCACAGCCCCGCGTCTGCTCGGCTCGTAGCGGGGTTAATATCCGTTGAGCGGCCGTGGATCCCCCTTCAGGCGCGCACAACTTTGACTTTCATTCATATATTTTTTTCTAATCGCTGCTCATCTACGCCTGGGGGATGTGCACGGGAACAAGCAAACTACTCCAAGCTCTTCCGCATATTGGATCTCTCCCCAGCAGTGTCCCTGCAAGGATTCGGGAAAAGAAGGCTCCTGCTCAAGCGGAACCGGGGATTTTTTGAGATCCAAATCATTATTTTATTTTATTTTTTTTTGTCTCAAATTGATTTTCTGAGTTTGTTAAAAAAAAAAAATCGCCTGTAGAGTGGAATAATTAATTGCGTTGCTTAGATCTCAACAGATCTAAGATTTAGACGAGGCTTTGCAGTGGGGTTGAACAGCACCACACAATTTCGATCAGAATGCATTCTATTTAGGGCACGCTCTGATTTACACTAAGTGTCACATTTAGGGATGGCGAACGACTACAATCGCAATATTGTGGAAAACTACATCTGCCATAAACTCTCCAAACGGGGATACGTGTGGGGATTTAACGGAGTCCCGGACGACGACGCTGCTAACAACGGAGGTTTAGGTGACCATTCACCGACTTTGGTTCGGCGCTGCCGCGATGCAGGACCGGGGCCCGACAGCGACAGCGACCCCCACCGCCTCTGCAGGCGGATCTCGCAGTCCGACCCGTACGCAGACATCCACCGGGTCCTGCGCGACGCCGGTGACGAACTCGAGAAACTGTACCAGTTGGACTTCGTGGAGATGTCGCAGCAGCTGTACCTCACCAGAGACACGGCGAGGACGAGGTTCGCCGAGGTCATAAACGAACTGTTCCGGGACGGCGTGAACTGGGGTCGGATTATCGCTTTCTTCGAGTTCGGAAGCACGGTGTGCGTGGAGTGCGCGTCCAAAGAGGAGATGACATCGCAAGTGGACAACATCGCGGAGTGGATGACGGAATATTTAAATGGACCCCTTGACAGCTGGATACAAGATAACGGGGGATGGGTAGGTCTGATTCAGCCTCTTAAGCGCTTTGCAGATTTGTTGCAACGGATGCGCAAAAGTCCTCTTTTAGGTCTGAGTGCGTGGCTTTGAAACCGGGCACGGGCTGAGATCACAGTGGGCGCTCTGTGGCTTTATTTACGGCTCAGAACCGAAAGTACACGTGAGATCGATCATTAATAAAATCATCCTCAAAGATGTGCATGTGATGCACCACAACGCGAGCGCGGCCTTTCCTGTTCGAGCTGCTGATTGGATGACCACGTTGGCAGTTAAAGTCTTCGCGTCCAATAAGAATTAAGGGTTAGGTCACACCTTCCCACGCTCTGAGATAAGTCCCTCCCTTTAAACTCAACAGCCAGTTGTAGACGGACAGCTGTCAGGAAGAAGAAGACGAAGAAGAAGAAGCAGAACAAGAAGAAGAAGAGAAGGTCTAAATGAAAATTTGGGGAAGTAAAAGCTGGTTTAGAATTTAACGAGTCGTATGTTTAACATTTAATTTTTATCTTGAAAGAAGAGCTACACTGTAGCTGCCTTACAAACCAATACTTAAGTGAAAAGAACAAGGCTAAAAGTGTTGTGCAACAAAACCAAACCGACAAAATGGTGAAGAAGTGAAACGACTAGCGACTCTTTGGAACATGTACAGCCATCTGGTCTGCCAGTGCGAGATGGTGCATGAGAGAGGGCAGTGGTTTAGACAGATGAAATGAAGCTCGCCTGTTAAAAGACGAAATAGAAGCAAATCCTATTCATTTTGAATATAAATAGAAGCCAATGAAAAATAAGCAAAATTGTAGAAATATGCTTATGGTTGCTTGTGCCAATATTAAACATTGAGTGGCAACATTTTTTTTATCATTTGACATTGAGAGACAGAAGATGACCTTATTCCACAAAGAAGCATCTGCATTCAAAAATAAAGCACATTTCTACAAAACAGCATCAAATGGCAACCGGTACAAATGAAAATAAAAATAAAAAGTTCTGGTCTACAAATGGATCCTTTGTTGTACACGTCTGATGAGGGCAGGACTGGCTTACCTTGCCCATTTTCAATCCCGGCAGCGTATCTGTTTCTCACAAATAACAAGTAGGTTTTAAAGAGTTTCTTAAAGGAAACACTTTGACCATCAGAAGCAGGTGGTCCAGCAATTGTAACGCCTCATTTCTGCCCTTGCATGCTGCCATGTATTGCCTTAGAATGTGTTTCCTGCAGGGTGAAGAGCACCAGACACATGTCAGCGCACTGCGAGCTTCTGGTTAATGTGTTAAAGGCTCTGGGCATCACTGACTGCGTTAGGTAGTCAAAGCACTACCAAAGGGCACATGAACCTTCTAAACATTGACCTTCCCACGTAGACGCACACGCTCTGAGAGAAACCTGTTGGAACCGTACAACATCACGTTTGAGGAAAATGTTTTGCAAACTCTCCTGCGGTTTCTTTGTAAAAAGTGCAGAATATGCAACTTCTACATTGCCATTAAACCAAACTGTAATGAATTAGCCTTTAATTAGTGGAGTTGCTCATTATAAGAACATAACATTTGTGCTACGTGGCCGTAATAGCTGGAAGCTACGGGAGTTGGGATATATATACATATACATGTGAATGTGTGTATGAGAGAGCGAGAGAGAGAAAGAGAGTATGAAGATGAGCGGCATCAATGATTCATATCGAACGTTTCATCTCAAAGGATAGGACCGTTTAACATTCCCCTTGTGTCTGTCTTGCCCCTGGAGGTGACAGGTTTTGCCAAATATCAAAGGCAGGCAGTAGAGGGAGGGCCCTGCAGGAACAGAGAGCTAATCTGCAGCCACTGTGTTTAACATGCAGTCCTCTGTTGTGCATCGAGGTTTTCTTTTCTTTTTCTTTCTTTTTTTTTTTTTTTTTTAGACCTGTGTCTTAAAGCCTAGAGCTACATAGACGCCTGCCTACAATCCCTGGAGTGTGTGCCCACTGTACAATAATGTAGGTCATAGTCTGTGTTTTACAGCTGGGTGGAGATGACTGTGTCTGCATCAGCTGGGGTGGGAAAGAAAATATCATCCTTTAATCCACAGGATTATTTAGGGATTGTTATTATGGCACATGTTTGGAGTTAGGGTCGGTTTGAAAGGTTTTATTCTAATAAAATAAAAAAATAAAAAAACGGATCTTAAATATGTTCAACTGAAGCTTCATTTCACATCCTAGATAGATCATTGCTGTTGTGGATTTGTATTCATTTGAATGCTGGGAATTCCCTGAGGTGTTTGTTTTGGTTATAACATGTCCTATAATAACCGAGACACACTCTGTGCTCTTGATGAAGTCTGCGAAATCTTTTTTTGCTCTGTGCTGTATAGAGCAATCCAGTTGAATCAGTTGTACTTTAGATTTTAGTGCTTAAGATTTGAACAAGACAGCATTAAATTTGGTCTACAGTTCCTAAAAACTGTGAAATAGTACATTTATTTATCACCAACAGAAAGTTGCAAATAGGATGGTAACTTCAGCATTGATTAGCTGCAGCATTGTTCGGTAATATTTTCTCACAGAGCTTTCAAATCATTTATATCTTTTCTTAAAGATCAAGCTGCGTCTTTTGTTAAAGTTGCGCAAAGATTAAGTGAAATTATTGACTGATTTTCATAAGTTATGAACATTTCTACAATTTAGTGTTTTAACTGTCAACACAGCGGAACAACAAAGAACTACTTCCTTTCTTACTTCAAAATAAAAGTCTCAAATGGACACGAGTGTCAGGCTTAAGTCACTTTATCTCTGCTTCTCATAATAATAGCTTACATTTATTCTAACAAAGTCATACAAGCATTTTGCATTAAGTGAGATAGAAATATTTAAGAGACAATATATTGTGACCATAGTCCAGTAGATCTCTGAGAGACCAATAATGTGTCTATATTATTGGTAAGTAAAATTCATAAATGACCTTTCTAGTTTTTTTTTTTATTATTATTATTTTTATTTCACATAAAACTCAAAGCACATACTCTTCTTTGTTTGTTGTGTTGTGTTGAGTCATAAAATCAGCTGTTTAAACGGGCAACACGTGAAGTTTCTTTTCACGGTAGGATATGCCTGAACACCCTCACAGGAAAAAGGATGTGACCTCAGTCTGCTTACGATGTGGGCAGAACAATGGCTTCCACTGTGAGAAAATAATCTAGCATTTATGTTGGAGCCAATGTGCTTACGTTTAATCTGATGTTGGGGTTTCGCTGGGGGGGGTAGGTGATGACCTAATTGTGAGGAGTGTCACTCGGGTCTGAGGTACACACAGGGTCAGTTTTATCCACCATCTGCCAGGTGAACCTTGCACTTGTGTGTTTTTGCTCTGTATAAAGAGTTTATACATCTTCCAAACAATGAAGACATTCAGTAAACATGGTTAAATGCCTGTTTAGACAGGTTGTACTTATGGTCACATTCAGTCTGGTGTGCTACTGTGTAGAAAATGTGAATGTTGTGTTTGCCATCTTCCACAAATAAAGGTGTGGGACCAATCAACACATTATGGCATTTTAAAAATACAAAAGTGGTGTTGAAGTAACTTTCAATAGCTTTCTGTTTCTTGTTGTTTTGAAAAGCTGCATCAAAAAATAGAAATGCCCACTAATCGTTGTTAAGTCTGCACACAGGAGTGAGTCAGATGTCGCTTTCATTGAACTAAAACGTGTCCCTTGGAAGTGACAAGCACTCTCTGTGTTTGTTGAACCCCGTTGAGGGCGAAATTGCTCCCATTCTGCCCTGATTACTTCCCGCACCCCAGAATTTGAAACAAGGTCCCTTTCTTTGTCCCAAATATTTAGTTAAAATTTTGACCTTTGGTTGGAGGGAAATTGCATGTTCCAATTTAAGCTCCGGCTGCACACCTGTGTTTATTTACAGGCAGTAAATACCGAGTGATTGAACAAAGCAGCCGAAGACAGCATCCGAGTCCAGAAATTACATGCCTGACCTGAGACGTTTGACTGGCTGCAGGGGCACGCGTGTGCACACACATGCATGCGGGCACATACGCACACACACACACACAAACCCAAACACACTGCTATGTGCCAAAATGAGCCTTAAGAGGAAAACAGCAGTTTCACAACAGTTATCTGTAAGCAGCTCAGATTAAGAAAATGTGTTTAGTTCCTGATGGGAAATTGCTCAGTGCTGATCTTATGACATTTTTTTCTGTTGTATTTTGCTATGCTCCAAGATGCAAGTGTCTTTTGGGCTACTTGTGAAAAATGACGATCGATGTACAATGGTAGACACCATTGTCAATCAATCTGCAGGGGAGGCGCGCTTATGGGTTTAAATGAGACTTCCGCCACATCAAAATTTTGCATTGATAGTTAGGTAATTAATTATTCTAAATATTGTGGTGATATTCTGTTTTATTATTACATGTTGAGATCCATTGCCTTGCAAATGCTTCTTGTGTTCCATTCATAGCTTGTGCCAAACTGCAAATAGTCCCTTCATGTGTAGATTGAGATTAAATTTCATGCTGGTGGATTCTCTCTCTTTTTTTTTTAATCAATCAGGTGACTTTGAAAGGTAGTTGTTTACCCTGGATTTTAGTAAGAGGTATCAGACTAAATGTATGCAACACTTTTTAGATTTCTATTTGTCAAAAAAAAAAAAAAATCGAGAACCATGAAACGTTTTCCTTCCACGTCACATTTCTTGAAGTTGGTGTTTCTCATAAAATGCATTCAAGTCTTTGGTTGCAATGCAACAAAGTGTGGAAATCTTCAAAGGGTATGTATAAATTTGCAAAGCTCTGTATCTGTGTTTAGATGTTCCTTCTCATTTGATCTGAAACACACCAAGATCAGATGTCTTGTCTTACCAGGTGGCCTGTTTCTGCCTTTTAAATTCCCTGTGTTACAGGTATGTGTCTGTGTTTGTCTGTTAAGAGTAGACAATATAAGCCTGGGCTGGGTCCATCCTGTGGGGGATTCCCTGAGCAACAGTCTGCTCAGTGGTGGGTGGGACCCG